CCAGAGTGTGTTTTGAATGTGAAAGAGGCTAGAGAATGAAGCACATTTCATTTTGTAGCGTGCCCTAGTTGAAAGGACTTTAAAAATTTAGTTTTTCTGCTATACATAGTTCTGGTAATTAGTGTTCCCAAACTTGTTTTGGGGAAACTAAGACATTTAAGGTACTTTTCAGTTATTAAAATGTTAAAGTGGTTCTTCTTTTGATTTATTAAAATATGAATAGAGAACATTTACAGATTTATCCATTTCACATTGTCATCATCAAGTAATCTTTTTCACTAGATTTTTAATTGACCTTGCATGGTACTATTATTGGTGGTCCTTAAGCCAGAATGGCATTTCAGAACTTGGAATTTGCCAAAGAGGAAACTGCAAAGTTTAAAACCACAGTCTAACTCAGTTTGTTTTGTTTTTCCCTCCAAATATTGAAGTTGGTTTCTGTTTCTTATTTTATAGTATCAGTTCTTTGTTTTGTCTTAAAGAGTATTGTACATATTTAGTGAATTCTTAAGGTTCTTTTTCTCTCATCATCCTCAAGATGAACATGGCAAGGATCAAGGTATAAATATTCGCCAGAAGGTGAAGGAATTGGTTGAATTTGCTCAGGATGATGATAGGCTTCGTGAAGAGCGAAAAAAAGCGAAGAAAAACAAAGACAAATATGTTGGAGTTTCCTCAGACAGTGTTGGAGGATTCAGATACAGTGAGTATCAAAGATAGGCTGGCACCTAAGCATTAGTTTAGCTTCTTAGTTGTGTTTTAAGAATCACTGAAATCCAAAGACCAAAGTGCTTTTTTAAAAGTATATATAGGGCTGGGGATTTATCTCAGCGGTTTGGTGGCCTGCGTTGCAAGCGCAAGGACCTGAGTTCAATCCCCGGTACCAAAAAACAAAAAACAAAACAAAAAAACAAAAAGAGAAAACACAGCAATGTCCCCATACCCACTACTCTGTTGCTCCATGAAGAATTTGAGAAAGTGAGAAGAATGAAAGATGGGTGCAGAAATGAGAAGCCAGAAGTCTGACGAGAGTGCAGTGAGGGCTCTGGTTCAGTTGAAAACAATAACAATACCTGTTAATAGCAAGGAATTAATAAATAGTGAAAAGAAAGTAGGAACACTAAGTACATTTCTTATGTTTACTGTGAGCCAGAAATATATGTAGTACTGATTTTGAGTCATATCACATGTATCATGGGAATCTTCCTGTTTGTATTGTGGATTGAAGAATATGATTTTTAACCTTTAATAGGTAATTAGATGTTGCATACTTTGAATTAACATAAAGAGGATAAAACATGTATATTCTCATCTTTTAGAGTTACCATTCTTTAAAAATGAAGAAGAAAAGAGGAAATTTTTCTTATGTTTCAAAGGAACATTTCAAAATTTGATCAAACAGATCCATCTTTCTAATTCAGAATTAGCTCATTTTTTTGGCCAAAAACATAAACTTCCTATAAACAATCTAGCTTAAGCCTCCCTTCCCAAAATTAAACAGTGTAAAATTTGATACAGAAAAAGATAACTGATGGTTTTCTCAGTTTTTTGGTTGGGCCTATTTGCTTTGTTTGTTGTTCCTAACACATTTACAAGCAATCGGACATTCACCTCTAATGCTTATTTTTAATGTAATAATATACAAAAAAATAGTAGGTGCTTGAAATACATACACAGAAGTAACTTTTTCACACATGTCCCTTTGGACTTTTATTCCTTGAGCCCTGATGTTCCCCTGGTCATTTTCTGTGCATACATATAGTGTAGTGCTGTGTGCCTTAGTGGATGCTTGTCGTGTCAGTAGCTCTCCCTTCCTATATCTCAGTTCTGTAATGTTTGACTTATGTTGAGATCTTGGAACTCCTTCAGTGGAGCTGTGTGAAAATTTCCTGTTATATTTTGTAATTACTTAAAAGTTCATTCCTTTGCTCCTTTGCTTTCTTGCCCTCAAAGAAAAAATATTGCAGAGTTTTTTGTTTCTGACAGTAGAAAACTTCTCTTTTTTAAAGTTGAAGTACCATGTAAAATTCATTTCATGAATTGGACAAGAATATTTCTCTCAAAGCATTTAAATGTATTTTGAAGTTTTTTTTTGTCAAATAAGAAATTGAATTAGACAAGACTGTTTCATGAATTGGATGAAAACATTTAAATATGCTTCAAGTTTCTGTAGAAGAATAAGAAATTGGATTATTTATCCAAGTCGTTACTTTATTCCTTAATTTTTTCAATGTATCTATAGCAATTAATGTGTTTTTGAGTAGAAATTGTTACTTGCAATTCATTTCCTCATTCTTCTGTACTTTTTTCTAAACCAATACAATATGTTATATGTCAGATAAATTTAGAAAATTGAAGTTTTCAGACTCAGTTACAGCCAAGTAATTATAGGATCTTATTGGAGGTAGAGTTAACCTGTGCATTTGGAACACATAATTTACTTAATTATTATTAGTGTTTTTCACACTGAACTACTCAACTTCAGCTATTTTATGCTTTTTCATTCTGATATAATGTCTTCGCTGTTTGTACTCTTTAATGCTAATATAGTGCAGTGTCCACCACACTAGCAGTTTGGTTTTTATGCATTTTCATTCTTCTGTATTGGCATTGAAATGTGCACACACATCATTGGAATATCACCTCCCCCCCCCATGTCCAGCACTGGGGATTAAACTCAGGGCCTTTACACTGAGCTACACCCTTAGCTCTTTTTTTCTTCTGAAACAGGGTCTCACTAAATTACCCAGGCTGGACTTCAATTGAGCTCTTCCTTACCTCAGCTTTCCAGAGTTTTGGAATTTAAGCATGCACTACCACACCCAGCTGAAATCACTTATTTTTAAAAAACTATCCTGATTTAGACTTTGTTTTGTTAACATGTTTTCTTAAGTTAGTTGTCGCTTCCAGATTTCGTACTCTATTGTTCGGTTTGGGTTTGGGATTAGATTGGGTTTGGTTTGTTTTGTCTTGTTTTATTCGGTGGTGCTGAGGATTAAACCCAGAGCCTCACACATACAAGGCAAGCACTCTACCACTAAACTGCATCCTCAGTTCCTAGTACATATTTTTAAATCCTCAAGCTTTTACAGAGAGTTTAGTTGTGAATTTTAGTAGGCACTTAAGTAAAATGGATTTGTGCAATCTCCAAAGAGCATGTATGCCCTCAAAACTTGTTAACAAAAGTTCATAACAAAGGCTCTTAGCCACCTGTTGGTATTTTGTTGTTTCTCACTACCCTTTTCCTTTTCTTACCCACCTGCCTTATTTTTCAACATTTTCTTTTTTTTAAAAGCATTATGTGATTTCTCTATATTCTTCTCTTAGTTCTTAAGATGAATTTGGACCTGAAAATGGAAGTACTTGTGAGTTATAATGTTAACCCTTCCATTGAATTCCTAAAGGCAAGGACTAAAACAAATCTTGACTTCTGGATTTTTTTTCACCATCATGATCTTTTTACTGCATCCCCAAATTCTTGCAAAGGCTTCCTGCATTCCACCACTTGCAGCATATATTTCAAGTTGACCTTTGAATATTCATCATTATTCTGAGATACTTGAAAGTAATAATTGTAGTATGTGCAGATTTTCATAGTTAGCATATTCTTCTCTTTATATAGCAATTAAAAAAATTTTCCCATGCTTTCGAAATCCATTGAATTATTTTTCTAATTTGATAATAAAGAGTGACAATTGCCACATCCTTGCAGCATATTGTAACGTGGAGCATTCAAGGAGAAGTTCCTTTACTTAGTTTATTTACTATTTTTGGTCTTTTTTTTTCTTCTTTTTTTATTTGAGATCGTATTTTTCTGTGTGGTCTAGGATGGCCCTGGAAGTCTTGGTCTCAGGCAGTCTTTCTGTCTTAGCCTCCCTTCCCAAGGAGCTGAGAATACTGACATGTGCCACAGCTTTGCTTTCTTGTATTTTTTAGGACACTGTTATCATCCAGTACTTCTCAACTTTGATAAACCATTAAGAGACAGAAATGAAATATAATGCATCAAATGGCTTTTGAAAAACAAAAATATTTCCATTAACTCTTTTGCTTCTTATAGAGCTTGTGTTGATTTTTATATTTCCTATTACTCGTTTCAGCATCCTTTAGGAACTTTTGAATGCTTCACGTTAAGGTTGTGAAAGTCTTCATAAAAACAAGCTTTTGATACATTCCTGCCACTAAATGATTGGCATTACATGCTGTGCCTTGCTGTAATTGTGTTGATTCAGCACTATAGGAACTTTCTTTTTCTTTGAAAATGATTTTATTATGAGGGAAAGGTTCAGAAGTACTGTACATACCGTTTGAATTTAATGTCCTTAGAGTTGCTTCTTTTTTTAATGTGTTATATAGGTGAAAGATATGATCCTGAACCCAAATCAAAATGGGATGAGGAGTGGGATAAAAACAAAAGTGCTTTTCCGTTCAGTGATAAACTAGGTGAACTGAGTGATAAAATTGGAAGCACAATTGATGACACCATCAGCAAGTTCCGGAGGAAAGATAGAGAAGACTCTCCAGAAAGATGCAGGTATTAACATTGTCCCAGGGCCTCTTCAAAAAGGTGCTAAATTTGTGTTGCTGGGTTTTTGTTTGCGGTATTAGCATATCTGAAGTTCAGCTTTTAACAAAAATTAGACTTTTTTAGGGGGCCGGGGATTTAGCTTAGTGGTTCTGCCACCTGCCTTGCAAGGTACAAGGTCCCGAGTTCAATCCCCAGTACCAAAAAAACAAAAAAGACCTTTTTTAGTGGAGTCTTAGGTTCACAGAAAAACTGTTCATAAAATTCAGAAGTTCAGAGGTTGCCATATACCTACCTCCCCCCTCACAGTTTCTCCTGTTAATAATATCTTGCATTAGTATGGTATAGTTCTTAATTTAGAAAACCCATATCGGTATATGTGTTGTATTAAACTATTTGGAAAGTTTCACAAATGCGTGGTGTTACATTACACAGTTATATAGAATAGTTTCTCTGCCGTGAATATGCCTTATACAAAAATAAGGAGTAGTTTATGATTTTATTAGTCATCCTTTTATAGAGGTTATGCTAATTTTCCCCTTTTTGTTCCAGTTTTAGAACACATGTGTTACTAAAGCAAACATTGTAGAGGCATATTTAAGATCTATGGAAAACATTACTGCTGTTAGTAATCATATTCTTTGTTGTCTATGTCTTTATTTCTACAGTCGGTGACATGTTTTATTTCAGATTTCTTAGTCTTCCCTTGGAATTTTTCCCCCAGTAAAAACTCTTACATGTTATTTTAAATTTGGACATCAAGTGATGCAGGGATTTAAAGATACTATTGATTAAAACAACGGATTTAAAATTTAACTCTTCTTTTGTGTGTGCGTGTGTGTGTGTGTGTGTTTGTGTGCGTGCGTGCGCGTGTATTTTACTGGGGACTGAACCCAGTAAATCTACCTTTCCAGCCCCTTTTTCTTTTTGGGGCAGGGGGTGTTGTTAAGTCACCAAGTTGCCCTGCCCAGGTTGGGCATGAACTTGTGATCTTCCTGCCTTAGCCTCACAGAATGCTGGAATTTCAGATGTACACAATCATGCTGGGCTTCCTTTGATACTTCATTATGGATCTCTGACAGAGTATACCAGAAAAACAATCCAAATGGCCTTTGAACCAAAATTTTCTGGTATAGACCTATATTTTCATAAACTTCATTTTCTGGTGTTAGGTATTTGGATTTAGTTTTACATAGAATAATACATGGAACTTTGCAACATTGCAGCATTCACTTTTTTTCTTATCACTATAACTGTAAGCTAGTTTTTCTCTAATTTAAAGAACATTGTATATAGCACTTACTTTGCAAAACAAGTTTTGCAAGGCTTTATTATTTCTGCCTCACAAAACAGTTTCTAGTCAGTGAAGTAGAGTAAGCACTTTTATTTTAGATAACTCTTCACTATGTGTGGACCTGGCCAAAAGTAACACAGTGATTGATGAAACTATACCTTCAAATGTGTTCTTATAATTAAATAGTGTCTCTTTTTTCCTAAACCAGAAATACTTTGATAGTTTTGTTTTAGAGGCCATTAAATGAAAGACAAACAAAAATATAATTTTGAAACAAATTCTTAAATGTTTGCTTAGTGTCTTTTCAGTATGTTTTCATATTTATTTTTTAAATTAAAAAAAATTTTTTTGTTTGTTTGTTTTCCGTTACTGGGGATCAAACTCAGAACCTTGCATTTGCCAGGCAGGTTTTGACACCACTGAGCTAAATCGCTGGCCCTGTTTTCATATTTATTAAAACTTTTTTTTTTTTTTTTTTTTTTTTTTTTTTTTT